TACACTAAAATAATTTGAAAGCGATTCTATATGGATAAAGCACATCCATTCCGACCTCATGAAAATAATTAAGAGCTTCTTGGTCCCAAAGTAACATATCTTAGTGCAATTGGTGCACTAATGTATCTTTCTAACATTACAAGGTATGACATAACTTTTTCAGTTAATGTCTTAACAAGATATAGCTCTGCTCTTACAAGGAGATATTGGAATGGAATCAAACACATATTACGGTATCTAAAAGGGACTACCGATATGGGATTATTTTATGGCAATGATTGCAGTCCTGATCTTGTTGGTTATGCCAATGCTGGGTATTTATATGACCTACACAAGGCTCGATCTCAAACAGGCTATGTGTTTACATATGGAGGCACTGTCATATCTTGGCGATCGACTAATCAATCAATCGTGGCTATTTCATCTAATCATGTTGAGATAATTATGGTGGATGTCTACTCTTCCTCCATGATCTTCTCAAATGCTTAATGACATATTTCTATGATTAATGATATATTTAATGACATATTTTTCTTCACTTTTTATGCATATATAAAGGCCTTGTAATAGATAAGAAAATACACACAATTAAAGAAGAAAATCTCTTCCTTCTCTCTATCTCCATTTCTTGTTCATGTTTTACTAAATTGATTTTATTTCATAACAACATGTCTTGTTCATGTTTTACTAAATTGCTTTTATTTTATAACAGGATTGATATTTTTAGGACAAATAGGTGTTGTGTTCCCAAAAAAAGTAGAGTATAGAAATTACCGTGTTCCTTAAAAACGATAGATATAAAGTGTAGAAACTACTTTCTTTTTCTTTAAAAAATAATATACCATATTTAATTGCTTTCAAATTCAAAATTTAAAAAGAGAAACTAATTTTACCTAAATTAACTAATTTATCCTAAAATTGCTACATGGCATTTTATGCATACGACACTTGGAAAAATCTCACTTTCTTCCTTTTAAGTAGATATAGATTCTTTTCTAAATTAGGTAGTAGCATGCATTAATCTAATCATGACTTTATTAGTCAAGCAAATGATGAGGAGTTCGATAAGATTGTTCATTAATTTAATTATAATTCTCTGATAATGGTCGCATGCCCACTTTACTATATTGATCACTATTTTAAAAATAAAAATAAAAATATTTGCTATGCATGGTACAGCTAGCAATTCAAACATATCCAACTTTTGTTTATTATTGCCTTATGCTATAGCCAGTCATTTCAAATTTAAAATTATAATGGGACATGATGTACAAATATCACATGTTATCTTACCTATAAACATGAACTTAATTTAATTTGAGATTACCATACTTTTTGCCGTACAAAATGAAATATAAAATTACTCGTGTATAAAACATGACAATATTTTTTGTCCAAGATAATATAATATTATCACCCCTTAGATTTTTGTAATTAGAGTATCAATTTGTTAGGGAATATTCTAAGAAGTAAAAAAAAAAGATTATGCTACAACTTTGTGTAACATATAATCTTTAAAATGTAGAAAAACAAGGAACAAAAGTATGTCTACAATTGACCAATTGTACACCTTTCCCGTTTAATAACCTTTCTATTTTTCCTTTCTAGCTCATATGAAATCACAAATTATTAAAATCACCAAGTGTAAACGCGATTTTAGACTAAGGAAGTAAAGCTTTTGTTAGAATTTTGTGGAATTTATTATGTAGGAGGTGAAAATTATATTTCCTAGCATCATTTAGTTTAAATTAATTTTTTTCTTAAAGTTGTTTGAGTAGATATACCAAAATTTCAACAATCTTAGTAATCCTTAACTTAATTTAGTAATAATAATATTGCAATCAAGTGTAACAATTGAAGCATATAAGACGATCATTATTAATAAAATGATGCAGCTAAAATATTCTAAAAGGTTTTCAATTAAATTATTAACGAACACCAAACATCCACTTAAAGTTCAAATTACTCTTGGGCCCCTAACAATTGCGAATGCTACACGAACCCAAGTATTATACCTTTGATTCTTTTTTTCTACTTTCAAGATAGTTTCCATAATATTTTTTGGTTATTATTTTTAGAATTTAACTTAAATCGTCGCTCATCGACAATATAAAATATATACAATCTCAAATTCTATCTTGTGATTATTATCCTTGTACTAAACAACATTTTGGTAACTCAGTACTACAAAAAAAAATTACAGTAATATTATATTAAAAAAAATTCTTTTGATTTCTTTTTTTGTATATAGATAGAAAAAAGGGAAAGGAAGATGTCGCATGCTTATGGAAAAGAAAAAATATTAACGAGTCAACGTGTCAGGAATAAACAAGGTCAATTAATCCTGGCCGTTTAATTAAGGTTAGGCCACCAATTATCCGAATAGCCCCAGGGACCCAAATAATAACGCTTTGTTTGGAACCGTCCCAAAAGATAAATTAAATTTTTTGTTTTGTTTTGTCTTATATTAATAGATTTAATTTAACTAGTCAATTAAGATATATTTTACATGAGTTCGAATTTTAAGAATGAAGAACTTTTTGAGGGAGAGTGTCACTTTATCAGCTCACTAAATAAATTTTAATTTTAAATTAACTGGATTTACTCACAAGGTAAGGGTAAGGTCTTATACGCTACCTTCCCTAGACCCCACTGCGTGGGATAATACTGGTATATTATTGTTGTTATTGTAACTGGATTAGTTTTTTGAATATCACACACTCAAGGAAAAAAGTATTTGACTTTGGGTGTGTTTGGTATGAAAGAAGACATTTTTCTGAAAAATATTTTTAATTTTTTCATGTTTGATTGACTTAAAAGTTTTGAAAAATATTTTACTCATGAATTTATTTTTTTCCAATTGACTTCCNTTGACTAGGGGCGGATCCACCCCTCTAGGAAGGAGCGGCATGGCACCCACTAAAATGAATTTTTTTTTATATACAGATGTTGAAATTTTCTTAAACTAGGTTAAATATTTGATCATGTCACCCGCAGTCCTAAACTAGACAAAGCTTGAACCTTCTTAAAAGCTTCTTAAAAGCTTTTCTCGTGTATAAAATTCAAGTTAGAATTTAGCTTGAACCTTGTCCGACTTTCCCTTTTCTTTGTGCATTTTATTTTCTTTTGTCCCGATCATTTTTCTTTTTGGCTGCCTCCCAATTTTCTATTTGTTACTTATTAATTATTTTTTATATTTTTCTTCTCTATTCTATTATTTTCTATATGATCTCTAGCAAAAACACTCAAAAAAGAGACTCTAAAACTTTAAAATTATATAAAATAAGCATTCCTCTTGATCTTAAATTTATGATTTTTCTTCTTTCAAATCCAAAAAACTTGGGTTTTAATGGGATTTTTGGATTGAGATCAATTTTTTCCATCTTTGTTTATTATATCATAAAAATTTGTGTTATTATATGGTTCTTAAATATAATTTAAATCTTTTTACTATTAAATTATGATAAAAATTCCGTAAACATTGCTTTAAAAAAATATGAGATTTATAATTTGATTTTTGGGAACTTGTAGTTTATTTAATTTTATACTTATGAGGCATAATTTACCTATTAAAGATATTTTTAAAAAAATTTCTTATTCTGATCGATGTAATTCTTTTACTAAAGATGTTATCTTATCGAATAAGATATAATTTCCTAGTGAAAATGTTGATTTTACTTGTGATGTTAAAATAAAGGTGTTATTCTTTTATTTAAAATACTAATTACGTTTGTTTTTTGATATCTCAGATGTAATTTTAATATTTGTTAATAAAAAATACCTATAAGGTTGACCCGAATAAACTCAAAAAACCCGAATAAAAGTTCCTAATAAATTTCATATTAGTCATTACAAGGTATACATTAAAGGAAATTATGGCACCCGTCACCTTCAAATCCTAGATCCGCCTTGTCCTTAACCCTTAGACACCGACTTAACATTCTTCCGGGACCTTATTCTCGTCTTCCAAAGTGTTTGTCCAAGTTATATATTTAAAAAAAAAAATTTTTTGCTACCTAGCTGCTTGTTTTAGTTATTGAAAGGTGTAGGGCTGTGTTATCTCGTCCTTGCTTGCATTGACTTTCTACCTCACAAGTCTAATGAATTTCAGATACAACATACAACATCTAATCTTCATCAGCCAATCTAGACCGTCTATTTCATACAATAGCCACTCCTTTTTATCAGAATCACGCTTGGATAAAAAGATGGAAAATTTTTCGAAAAATTACAATCAAAGAAAGGCTACACGTGTAATCTTAATCATGCTCCGCAGGACCACCAAATCATTATCCTTAATTTAAAAAAATAAAACAAAATTTGTATATAAATATGAGAGGGCATGAATGCAAAAAAATGATCACAATCATTTCACAAACAGCACAAACCTCTATAGTTTCCCTTTATTTTTTAGCCACTTTCAAAACACTCATCATCACCTTGTCGGCCTCCCTTTCTCCTCTATTATCTTTAACATTTTTCTTCATTTTGAGAATATTACTATTAAAACAACCAAAAATCCCTATAGTTTCCACTTGCTTTTTCATAGCTAAAAGGATCAATATTACTCATTATTCTTTGTGTTTCTTGTGATCAAAACTATTCAACCACTAAAATTTATAGCTGGTGAAATTTTATATAATAAGTGTCAGTTCAATTCTTATTGTTTTCTGTTCTGAGCGAAAAATATTTCATTACTAAAGCGTATAGGTGGTAAAAATATTTTACTACTAAAAATATTCTCTTCTCCTCTTGTTCTTGTTCCTTTCGCCGAGAAAAAATAACCCCCCCCCCCC